TGTGGTCCATCACAGGCTTAGATGGGAAATAATGGCCGGAGGGTGGACAGTGAAGCTGTGAGGGACTCTGGAGAGCAAGTCATGGACTCCCAGAACTTTGCACCTCGACCCTGCGGGCGGCCACACCCCCACTCCCTTGTCCTGGGTGCACTTTCCCCATGTGGGACACGGCGAGGGGCGGGGCCGCACAGCGTCCTCAGCCTCAGCCTCTCAGTCTCCTCCCCTGAGGGTTAGGAGCTGCCCCCAGAGAGCTCTGTTTCCGATGTAGAGCCAACAAAGTAGAAAAGCCAGCTGTGTTCTCACTGCCCTAGAAAAAGCACAATGGTCGCTGAGGTCATGGGTGTGTGTGTGTGTGTGTGTGTGTAAGCAAACTATTCACAGGCAAAACTGTACAGACCTAATGGTGCAATTATTTGATGCACAGTTACAAAGTGACTTGGGTCCCATGTCCTGGGTGGGGGCAGCCACTCTGTGCCTTCACTTGGGGCAGGGCCGTGGGCACCCTGTGTCCACCCTGAACCCCGCGGCCCACCCCCTTAGAAATCACCCTGGCCTGAGGTTCTTTACAGTATTATCATATTCTAGAAGTGCTTCCATTAAACAGCAGTTCTGTGTGGCCTGTTTTCAAGCATCATACAATGAATTTCTGTCTTCCTGCGTCTCGTTGCCCTGCGTGTGATTGATGGGATTTGTCTGTGTTCTGCTCAGAGCCCGTCTGGCACCTTGACTCTGCCAGAGCTTGTTTTATTGTCTGACTGTGAAGGAGCTCTGGTGGCGTGGTGCTGAAGGTCAGCAGTTTGAGTCTTCCAGCTTCTACATGGGAGAGAGATGTGCATTCTCCTCCTGTAAAGTTTTATAGCCTCAGAAACCCACCGGAGAATACCTGGGTCAGGGGCGACTCGACAGCGTGGATATGGGTTGGTCTGAACCTGCTGCTGTGAATCCCATGTTTCTGTGATGCTGGAAGCAAAGCCACTCCAGGGCTCTCCAGGGTCAAGGTCTCCGTCCTCCTTCCAGAAGGATCCACCATCCCCTCTCAGGATAAGCAACAGGGGCTGCCCGCCTTGTAGCTGTTGTTTCCAACCTGCAGGTGTTAGGAAGAGAAGGAGGGAACCAGCAGGTCATACCTCCAGGGTGACCCCAGAGAGTGCCTGGCTCTGGAGAAAGCATGCTTCACTGTCTGCGCAGGACCAGAGACGGGTGGGAGCATGGGCACAGCTCCTGGCTGATTTCACAGGCAGTGTCAGACCCCCTCTGATTCACTCCTTGCTGCCAAGGTCAAGTTGGAACTGGCTCATAGCTGATCCTCCAGAGGGTTGAGGCTGCAGGTCGTGCAGGAGGCAAATGTGCTTCTTTCTTGCGCCGAGCAGAGGGTAGATTTGAACCATATACCTTCAGGGTGGCAGTGCAACTCCTCAGGCAATGTCCTCACCCCTGTGTGCACAGCCCTTCCTCTGCCAGCACCCCAGTCCTTGTGAAGGGCAGGGGAGGCCAGTGTACACAGGAAACACCTTGATCTTGAGGGGCTGTTCCCTTCCATTCCTCTCTTCACCTCAGTGTCCCCTGGTCCATTCTGCTTTCAGGGCCGGCTGGGGCCAGCCTGGAGCATTACTGAAAGCATGCAAAGCCCAGGATGCCTCTCTTTTACCTGCCCCTGAAAATGTCACACCACACCCTGCCAGCCTGGGACTCCTTCCTCGCTCAGGCACCGCAGCCTGGCAGGAACCTCCTCACCTCTTCGCCCAGCGTGGCTGCTCCAGGGTGCCTGCCAGCCGCCCGCGCCCCGCCCCAGCTCTCTCACCATGGGGTCAGGGCCCATTCACAGCTGACCCTCGCATGAGGACCTCCGAACCACCAGCCGTCTCAGCTTCTGGGAGCGTGCTGTTCTGGGTGCGTTCTCGTGAGTTCCCCTCTTATTTTTGTATTGGATTTGGGTGGAAGTTCACAGAACAAGTTCTTTGCGGTCAGTCATTGCCATGCCCTTTGTCTTGTGACAGAGGCTGCAGCCATCCTGTCACTGCACTTTCTCCTGCTGACCAGCTTTCTGGATGGGCATGTGGTGCTCCTGGCAGAGGTCACCCCAAGACCCCAACCAGGGACCCTTCCCCCCCACCTGAGCGTCTCCATCCCCCCCCCCCGTGCCTCGGGGTGCCGCAGGTGTGCTCGAGCTCAGCCTGCGGCCCCAGCCTTTAGGAAGCTCAGGGAAATGGTGTTGTGGAGAGACCACTGACCTCAGTGCGCCGGGGACAAGGAGGTCCCCTCCGCAGCTGGCCTCCCCCCAGCAGGCTGCCTCTTCCTTTTCCCGCCGAGCACTGGGGGGATTCAAACGGCAGCTTTCAGGGAGCAGCTGGGTGTTGGAGCCAAGGCATCACCCAGGCCCCGGGATGAGGGAGAAGTTGGCCTAAGTCAGAAGCAGCATGGAGTGACCGTGGTCATCCCAGAAGCACTCCACTGGAAGGGCCCCTCGGGGTGGTGCCTTCCTGAGGAGGCCCCCTGACCACCTGCAGCTGGGTGCTGGGCAGGGGCTGCCTCCAGACTCCGCCCCTCCTCAAACTACCCCCCTCCCACAAAGTCCCAGGCCTTTGGAAAGGTAATAGTTTTTATTCTAGGCAAAATTAATAATAATAAAAATTAGAAAGTCAGGTGTACATAAGCGAGGCCCAGGCGCCTGCCTGCCTCGGGTGGGCAGGCAGTGCACCTTCACGTTCGCCTAGGGTTTGCTGGTCAGAAAAGTCGGCCCGTGCTGCCCCCATCGTGGCCTGGCTTCATGTGCAGCCCTGTTGCTGTGCGCTGATCCAGGACAGCCCCGTGAGGAGCAGCTCTGGGCCCAGGGCTCCCAAGGCCACCAGCCTTACCTCCGGGGGCCTCCCTCCCAGCAGCGGCTCTGGTCAGTACTCTTACTGCTGCTGCCGTCCAGTGAGTCATGCGTCCCAGCGAGCCTGCAGGACAGAGCGCTCCCCATGGGCGTCCCAAGGCCTCTTCTTCAGGGAAGCACATGGCCCGCTCTTCCTCCCAGGGTGGTCAGTAGGTACAAGCCCCTCACCTGATTCAATAAGGAACTGCTTATCCGAAGGCCATGGCTGGCATTGGAACCAGCCTGGGGAGAAAGATGAACAGTCTGGTCCTTCAGAAACCTGCTTCAGGGTCAGCTGATGTCCCTTCCGACTGGACAGCAGAGGTTTCTAGTTGCGTTTTTTTATTAGCAGCACGTGATTAGTCACTGTACCGCCAGGGCTCCCTTCCTAAAAGGCTCTGCATGCGCATATCCTCCAGCCTCAATCCCTGGGGCGTTTAGTGCTTTTACCAGGAAAAGGCTAGCAACTGCTCGGGACCGAGGAAGGGGGGCCCTAAGGGGTGAGCCGGAGGGGCGTGTGGGAGGGAACCTCCTGCCGACAGTGCCAGCGGGGGACAGGGCAGGGCCCTATCCGCACTCGGGACCCTCCATCCGCGGGCCCACTACACCCCACAACCCACCCAGAAGGTTGGCAAGCGGGTGGGGCACCGGGTTCAGGTGTGGGAAGGAGGCGCTGCGGCCCCCCATGCAGGCCCGGGCCTCGCCGGGAGCCCGCGGTGCAGAGGTGGGCGGTGAGGGAGGTGATGCTGGGCCGGCGTCACCGTCACCGCCCTGCCCAGGTCCGAGGCCGCTGGGAATGAACTGAAGGGTCTGGTCCTGGACTTCGGCGCGCCGCGGGGAGAGGAGGGTACGTGCGCCCGGGGCGCAGGCGCCAGGGATGCAGGCGGCGAGCTCCTCCCCCGAACCTGCCATGCCCCCAACCTCCCTCCCAGACTCTCCCCCCCCACAGCCGCCTCCATCTCTGTCTGCCGCCACCCCCGCCACCTGTCCGACTTGCGCAGGTGGTCCCCGGGCCAGGCCTGGCGGGCGCTGTGTGGAGGCGAAGCTTCTAGACGAGCCCCAGCCCCCGCGCGAAGGCCCGCCCCTTGCCGGCGGCCCAGCCTCTGTGGGCTTGGGCAGCGCTAGGAATGGCCGGAGGAGACGGGAGCTCCGCCGGGGCTGGGTCCCCGCGCCCCCAAAGGCTGTGGAAGAGGGGACGCAGCAGGGGCTGGGAGGGGACAGCACGAGCACCACAAGCCAGCTTCGTCTACCTGTGAGACTCTGGTCTTTCTTGACCAGTATGGGGCTTCTGGGGATGTCTGTGTGTGCACGTGTGTGCGCACGCCTGTGTGTATGTGTGTGCGCGCGTGTGTGTATGTGTGTGCGCGCGCGCGTGTGTGCTTTGCCCTGGGGGTCAGACTGGGCAAAGGAGGGAGGGTTCTGAGGCAGCTGTGGCATGGGCGGTGCACCCCTGTCTCTCTCCTTTCTCTTCTGGGTGGAGGGAGAGTCAGAGGATCAGCCTGGTTGCAGGGTTCCCCACTTGATCTCATCGACCCCCCATTCCCTGGGCCCGTTTTCACTTAGTCCTCGGGTGGGCTGGCGAGTGTGACAGGTGGCCTTGGGTTTCAGGGCTGCTGCAGCGTTGTGTGGGGTGCAGCCTGGTAGGTGCAGTGATGGGAAGGCCTGCCAGCCTGTTGGGGGGGCAGGTCCCCACACTCATCACTCTGATGGTGGAGGAGTAGGTGGGGCCCCTGAGCCCCTAGATGAATGCTGCCGGGCCCACTTGGAGGAGGATTCTGCTGGTGCAGCTGCTGGGCTGCTCGCTGCTGACTGAAATGTCGGTGCTTCACACCCAGCCGCTGTTTGGAGAAAGTGGGCTCAGTCTGATGTGCAGATGACAGTCTTGGGGAGCATGTGGCTCAGAACTGCACCACCAGGTTGCTGGGGCTTGGATCTAACTTGTTGGCAGAGACTCTGGGTCGCAGGACACAAGGACCACCCTGGACTGGAGGGTCAGTGGGCTTCCTCAGTCCACTAGGGACGCCTTGTGGGACAGCCAGCTGGCCCCAGGGCAGGGAGGAAGTCTGCGTATGAGACTGAAGTCCAGAAGGTGCTCGGGCCCCGCTCCTGGGCCTGGGTGGCTCCGCTTACCCTGCTCTCTGTTCAGGGATCAACGCCCAGGCCAGGAGGCTCCAACGGACCCGGGCCAAGGGCACGGCCACAGGTACCCAGCGGCCCTCGCCACCCCACCTGCGCCGCAGCGTCAGTGAGACCAGCCTGAGTGCAGCCCCGCCCGCTGACTCTGGTCAGCCCCACTACGCCACCCTGCCGGCAAGTTCGGGCCCCGAGGAGCCCACCCAGGACACAGGTGGCCTGGCCAATGAGGGCACCATGCGCCACTCACTCTATCATTCACCCCACCTCCTCCTCCTGCAGGGCTACAGCCAGCAGCACGTGAGTGAGACAGCCTGGGCTAGCTCTGGGGGGCCAGGTGGGGTCCTGCCAGGGCCCCAGGGCCAAACTATGGCAGGAGGTCCTGCCCAGGGTCCTGGGGGCTCAAGTCAGGGTGGGGGTTCTGCCGACACCTCTAGCCTGAGCCAGGGGCAGCAGGGCCAGAGAGCACACGTGGGCCCCCTTTTCTCCTGCTCCCCTGTCTACTGCCTGAGTCACGCGCCTCCTCCCAGGACAGCCTGGTATACGTGCTGAACCGGGACCTGCACACGGTGGGCCAGCGGACACCCGCCAGCCGGCCCAGCATCAGCCTGGCAGCCCCCGACATCCTGCCCCTGCACTGCACCATTCGCCGGCGCCGGCGCCCCGGCCTCCAGCCAGGGGCCTCACTGGTGCTGGAGCCCATTGCAGGCGCGCCCGTGGCCGTGAACTTCACCGAGGCAGGGAGCCACCCCGTGGAGCTGCGTCATGGTGACCTGCTCTCCCTGGGCCTCTACTACCTGCTGCTGTTCAAGGACCCACTGCAGGCCCAGCCGCTGCCTGCCCAGGCCCTGGCCCGCCTCGGGGCTGCACCGAGGAGCTGCCGTCTGTGCGGAGCCTCGCTTGGGGACCGTGGCACCGCCTGCCCGCCTCGGGCCAGCCCTGAGTCCACGCGCGAGTCCGCCCGGCAGAGGCTGCAGCTGGCCTTCGAGCCGTCTCAGGAGGACGCGCTGCTGCAGCGAATCCTGACATTGGTGGAGCCCACGGGCGACGACCACAAGCTGACCCCCGCCTTCCTGCTGTGCCTCTGTGTCCAGCACGCCGCCACCTGCTTCGGACCCGGCGCCTTCGGCCAGCTGCTGCTCAAGATGGCTGGGGCCATCCGAGACACGGTCTGGGTCAGTCCTGGCAGGGGAGGGACATGTCCGTTGTCTGCAGAGGGCGAAGAGCTAGGGCTCAAGCCAGTGACCGGCCCTGGGAAGGACAGTGACGTCTCCCAATGGCCACCTCGTAGGGTCCTTCACGAGCCCCGCCCTCTGGGTCGTGAAGGAGTCTGAGGTTAGAGGCCAGGTGTCTGTCAGCTACTCAGTTCTGGTGGCTGCTGGGCCCCCTCCTCCCTGATTCTCCAGCTCAGGTGGCTGGGACGTGGTGCTGTGAGGCCCAGTGCTGTCCATTGCTGTCCAGAGGTCTGTCTTGTGCTGCTCCGGCCCCTCTGTCAGGGAGGCAGGCCCGTCCCAGTTGGCTCGGATACGGGAAATGTCCCTCCCTTAAGGACTGGATTTGCTCAGTGTCAGCTCCTCGATGTGTCGCCCCTGCCTTTCCTGCTACGTCCATTCCTGATGCCGTGAGATGCGGGCACACTGAGCCCATTTCCAGGACGAGAGCAGGCTCACGGGCAGCTGTCGGCCGTGGCTGTCAGGTCGGCTGAATCTCTAGGACAGAGCAGGATTTCCCAGGCTCGCCAGAGCTTCCTGGACTCAGGTGGACTAGTGCCAAGAAACTGCCCTGCAAGCCTAAAGGCACACGGTTTGAATCCACCAGCTGCTCCACGAAAGAAGAATGGGCATTCTCCTCTGTGCCTCTGAACACCCCCTGGAGGGTCACCTGTGTGTCGGTTCTGACTCAGTGGCACACAACAACAACAACACATCTTTGTGGGGTTACACTGCCTCATCTTTCTTTCTGTTGAGCGGCTGATGGGTTTGAACTAACAATGCTGCAGTTAGCAGCCAAGTGCCTTATCATTGCATCCCTAGGGCTCCTGCTCAGAGGTGAAGGACCGCATGTAGGTGGGACTCTGGGTCCTGCTGTGTTCCCCTGAGCCGCAGGGTTAGTGCACCTCAGCTCTCACCCTGCCACCCGTATCTGCACTGACCACTGTGCCCCCTGGACCCCTCCCCCATGCACACTGTGCCCCCTGCACTTGACGTTTGTACCCCTCATCCTGGCTTGTGTCGTCCCTTTCTGTACTGTTCCTGGTGTTTGTACCCCTTACACTGGTCTTTGTGTCCCCTCCCCCCATGCATCCTGTGCCCCTGGCGTTCAGTCCTCAGCCTCGGTGTTGTCCCTTCCTCAGGTGGACTGTCTCCCTTACACCCTGGGTGCATCATATGCCACAAGCCCCACGTGTACTGTACCCCATATACCCATGGTTACTGTCCCTAACACCACGTGTGTGCTGTCCCCCACACCCTGTGTGCTGTACCCCCCACACCGTGACGTTTGCACCCCTTGCACTGGTCTGCCCATCTCCTGTGGGGGCTTATTTGTTATGTGTCCTGTCTTCCACGCTCGCTGCCCCTCATGTTCTTCCTGGGGTACCCAGGCAGGGGCGTGCACCTCCCAAGAACGCTCACAGTGGCGGCAGGTGGGGAGGGGAGAGCCATGGTTAGCTGACAGTCCCTGCAGGGTTGAAATGTGTCTGTAAACCTTCAAGCACATGCTGACTGTTCCTCAGCACGGCCGACAGGCTGACATTCCCCTAACCAGTGGGACGGGAGCAGCCTGGCCCTCTGCAGCCTCTGGCCTGTTTGGCCCTTGTTTGCTGTTCTAAACGGCCGGTTGCCATGCACGTTAGAAGCTTGTGGAATGTTCCAGCTCTCGGAAATGTACAGGTCACTCAGTGACGACATGGACGATCACTAACTTAGCAGGAGGCGTGTTCTTTCCTGTGTGGCTGGGGCCACTGGGCCCAGTGCCTGCGAACTGACGTGTTCGGGGGTCCCTGCTGGACACGCCCTGGGATGGCCTGCTTTCATGATTCTTGGCCTTTCTTTCCAATCGTAGGAGAAAACCAGAGAACTCGCTGAGAAGCAGGCGCATCTGTGAGTAGCCACTGTCACACGCCTCGTCACACACCCCACACCCTGTCACACACATGTCACACCCCCCCACACCCTGTCACACACGTCACACACCCCACACCCCGTCACACACGTCACACCCCGTCACACACCCCACACCCCGTCACACACCCCACACCCC